GTTTCATGAAGTCTGAAGAAATTCAAACTATTCGGTAATGCAAAAGTCTATTGAGAAATCTTCCTTCTTTTTTTCTACTGATTACGGAACTCAATAGATAATATAAAACATTGAATTCAATTGAGAATTTCTACTTTTAATCAATCTATGTTCATAATTGCCGTAACAACCAACAGAAGTTCAATTTAAAAGCAAATATAATGAAAGAAAGAGTAAACATCTCTTGTAATTCAATATTTCATTATTTTCTCAAGATGAGATATATGCCAAATAAAAAACGGTTAAAATATTATTGACATCATCGAAGAAAAAAAAACCAATGTTCGTTTTCTTCTAATACACTTTTTATGCTTTTAACTGTATTTTATGTTCAATCTAAATATACAAAAAGATGCAACGCGTTCTAGCCTCTCTCTCTATCTACAGATATATAGTAAGTTAAGAGATAAAAACATAGAGTAAGATCATTATCAGTTTAATATATAAATATTCTTATTTTTATTTGTACATTTATTGATTGCATCTTTTTTGTTTTATTTCTCTTTTTTTACTAGCAATGATTAACATTGGAATAATTCATTTGTTTTAATAGATCTCATCTTCAATTGAAGATAAATAATTGATTTATACATTTAGGATTTCTTTTCTCTCAAAATCAATACTATTCTTATTATAATACCAATCAAGTTTTACTATTTAAATAAATGAAGAGAGAGATAGAGAGAGATAGAACTAATTGAATATCGAATAGTAAATCAGATAAGAGAAAATAAATCTTATCTTTCATTTCTCTATTGATTAGACTATAAATCTAAGATAATTATTATAAGCAATCACATAGAGACACACGAGAATAAACTAAATCAATTCGATCGTCAGCAACAACAAGAAAAAACATTGGAGACAAAGAAAAATGAGAAAGACAGTTTAATCATAGCCACTAATAACTATATCATTTAGATCGAACTTTTGCCTGAGACAAAACACAAAAATATAAACACAAGAGAAAAATATGTTAATGCACTTTTCCCAATATATAACAATAGATCATATTAAAAAACCAAGAGAAACATTGACATACATACGAATATTAATAACTAATTATTGATTATCTTTGTTTTTTTTCTTCTTCGAATCATTTATTAGATTTCAATAAACAATATTGTCAAGTTAATCTTTATTTATTTCATTATATTTATTTTAATTAATATTAATAAAGAGAAACGGTTAAAAACGTTATCATTGACTAGTCTTATTTCAGCATCCCATCCGCTTTTAGCGAATGTGGATGCTTTTTCATCATCGATTTCATTAAAATGTTGTTCACATTCTCGTTCTCGAATATCTTGTCATTTGAATTATTCAAAAGCAACATCATTGTTACAAGAACAAACAACAGTTGGTGCTGCACTTTTTTCAAATAGTTCTCTTGATTATTTATGTTCAATGTATAGTATAAATCTATTTGCAATAATTTCTTCATCTTGTCCAATATTACCTACGGTTCATTCTTCTCCTGAACAAATAATTCGTGTTTGTGAAACATTAGAAGAAAATGGTGATATTAACAGATTAGGAAGACTTATTTGGTCATTACAACTTTCACCAACATCATCAAATATATTATTTGAACATGAAAGTATTTTACGTGCACGTGCTATTGTTGCTTTTCATTTGGATAATTATCAAGAACTTTATCATTTATTAAAAAATTATAAATATAAACGTGATTATCATACGAAATTACAAATAATCTGGATAGAAGCACATTATCAAGAAGCTGAAAAATTACGTGGAAGACCATTAGGACCAGCAAGAATAAAATTTCGAGATATATTGAATATTATTATTTAATTAATGTTAGGTTGATAAATATCGTGTAAGAAAAAAATATCCATATCCACCTACAATATGGGATAGAGAATTAAGAAAAAAGTCATTGTTTTAAAGAAGGAACACGTTCATTATTACGAGAATATTATTTAGAAGATCTATATCCAAATCCAATAAAAAAAAACGGCAACTTGCACAATCAATCAACTGGATTAACAGCAATACAAATTGCTATTGGTTTAAAAATCGACGACAACGTGATCGAGCTTTATAAGCAAAACATCGACAATTATATAATTTACCTATTCATTCTCATTCTTATTCATCATCATCAATAATATAATTTTTTTTCCAATAATAAATTCTTTTTTTTCTTTTTAATTATCTACTGGTGATATCAACATACCGAACAATATTTATTAATTTTTTCTTCTTTTCTATTTATTTATATTGCTTTTACTCTTTTTATATTCTATTATTACAAATTAAGTTTTCTTTTTCTCTCGTTTTTTCAACATAAATACTCAAAAACAAAGAATAAAATGCTCATTTAAATTTTGTTTCATTGTTGTTTGCAATGCCAATAGTTGATAAAGATATATATATTTGTTTGCATAAAATCATTGATGTATTCATTATTTTCTTTTTCTCTTTCAATAAAACTATTTTCACTAGTTAACATTCCATTAAGAAGATTATTTAATTAATATTTATCATATACATTACTTTTTCTCTAAAGTGCTTGCTTTTTTAACTAGTCAAATTATATTATAAAAGAGATGAAATTCTAACGGATTTATTCTTTTCCTTTTTTATTTAATAAAATTCTACATAAAAAAAAACCATGGAGATCATTGACTATATTATATAAATAATGTTGGAGAAATTAAAAAAGAAAATCTAATCTGAAATGAAAGAATAATTTTGAAAAAAACTAATAATCGATTATATAGAAAAGACAAGTCGTTATCTATGTACAAACAAGATAAATAATTGATGATCTTTATTATTGAAATTTCTTTTTTACAATTTACTAATTATAATACCATCGAACTTAAATATGATGAGATTGTATATTATGATTGATTTAAATCTCTATTGACATTGATGATTTATTCGATAGTCAACAGGTAGATCTTTATTAGAAGTAATGATGTTTAAAAATAACTGTTTTATTCTATCGGTTAGTCTATTCTATCAACAACATCGAAAATTATTTTCTTACCTATATTAAACGATTATTTTTATCATAAAACATTACTTTTAACTGAAAGATTTATTAACATATTCAGTTATTTCAACGAAAAAAAAAATAAATTTATTATAAATAATATTATTTATCAATATCGATTTAATTCTTGAATAAATATTTTAATAAAAATTATTTTAAGTAAATTCTATTGAGTAGAGTGAAGAGACGTGATTCTCATCATAACCTTAAATGAATAGACTAATCAATCGAGACATAACATCATTTGTCTTCATCAATAAATCAATTAATAAATATGTTTATTTTATTTTTTAAAGTTGTTCATCGATTGAAAAGACTAATTAAAACAAATTCATTGACTTAAAATGTTATATCTATCTATTTCTTATAATCCATCATCATCAAACGCGTAAATTAATAAATATTTTGTTTTCAGATATTTTATTCTTTGTCTTTCTGTTGTCATTGCTCGACAAATCTCAATGGATGTTTATTATTCATATTACAATTGTTAATGAAATATATTATAAAAACAAATAAAAATGACAAAGAATATATATATATTGACAAATCTATGTTTAGAACTACAGTAATAGCCTTTTTTTGTAACATTTAATAATCGCTATTCAACGGTAAGAATTGAAATAAAGATAGTATTTTATTTATCGAAATAATCAATCAGACATCCTCAAGCATAATTTAACTGTTTTTTTTCTTTATTTGGTAGTATATATTATAATGATTAAGTTTATCTTATTCTATTTATAATGAAAAGAATTATTTGAAAAATTGATATAGATAAATGATCTAGTTCGAGATTTTCATTTAATAAAAAAACGAAAATCTTATTTCATCATAATCCATTATCTTCGAATAAATAATTCGAAGGTGATATGTATCGATTACAAACATCATCAATATATATATATATATCAAATAGTTATATATATTCCATCAAGATTTCTTATAAATCTTAATTATGAAATTCTATCAACGAATTTAATTTGAATTATTTGATTTTCTTAAGATTTAAAACGATGGATCCTAACACGATATGAATTTTTTTATTATTACAATTATACGGACAGTTTTTATTAATTTACTTTTGTTCTATGAATGAATTAATCACTTTTTCAATTGAATCAATTAGAAAAGTAAAATTATGATTAAAGACTATATCAAGACAAATGATTGTTCATTTTGATTTTATTTAATTGAAAATTATTTATTTTTTATGTTTTTATACGATTATTTACAAGAAAGGATGATGATTGATATGAACATTTAGATTTTATAATTTCTGTCAATATCACTTTGTACCGTACAATATATTATCTTCACAATAACCCCAAGTTTCAATTAATAAGAACTCGTTTTAATGATTTTAATCCATCTGAAAAAAACCAACTGACATTCTCTATTAGACTTTCATTTACATTGTCATTAAGACAGACAAATATGGACACTAATTTATATAATTAATTATAAAATCAGTCAATTTAATAATTAAACAGTTATTAATTAATTAAACTAGTTAATAAATATAAAAAATTGATTTAGAATTAATGAAATAAAAGGATTAGCATAGAATTCAAATGATTGAAAGTAAATAGAAATAAAAACCTTTCTACTTTGAAAAAATTATTTTGACAATTTTAAATGACTAAAATTGATTAATAATTGATGTTAAACTAGAATCTCTACGTATAAACTACTACTATTGTTCATTGTGAAAAATTTTCAGCTTTTTTTAGTTGCTTCTGCCGTCATTTATGAATAAAAGCACAAAATTTACTTTTTCATACAACAGAATTTCTAATACTCATATCTTACGAGATAATCAAAGAAAAAAGTTAGATTCTCTACAAAGACCTAGTGTCATGAACATGATTATTTGTGCTAAATGAGGGGATTACATGGTTTTTCATGAAAAATTCAGTAAAAATTCGAATTCATCAGAACGAAGTCTCGGAAAACCAAATCATTCAAAAATTTTTCAACACTCGCTAGTCCTGATTGAATACATATAGTCTTGATCCATAAACAATATAGCACATGAAGAAGCTCTCTAATGACTTATGCATGTTTGGCGATAGGACATCTAAAGTTGAGAACGATCTATGGATTATGTTTACAGGTAAACAATCGATCTACAACTTTTAAAATGAACGGTTTCTATCGAAGATTAGTTTTGTGAAACTTTTTCTTAATAAGGGCTTAAATATGCATCTTT